CATTATAAATGTGTATCTTTGAGGCAAGGGGAGGGACCCACTCAGATTCCATTCTTCCTTCTTTTGGTAACTTCATTCAATTCCTTTCTGGGGATCCTGTGCTTAGGACAAAGCTCTCCCTCAGTTCAAAGGTGACAAATCTTAAGGCCTGTTACATACACACACACACACACACACACACACACACACCCCATCACTAGTTGCTTTAGGGCAGAACAAGACTACTCAATAGCCAGTCACAAGGAGACTCAGTTGGGGAGGGGAGATTTTGGTGGTTTCTTGGGAACATTCAAGAAGTAAGCTTGGTTTGAAGATACTAAAACAATCTTGTTAATCAGAAGGTTAGTCTCTTTGAAAATAAAGCCAACCCAAGTGTTGACAGACACAGCCAGAATGGCGCCTGGCATATTACCAGAAGGAGTGGTTGAGAGGTGATACCAGCGAGCCATTAAGATGATGATAATTAAATTAAGCTGTGTATAATTGCTGTGACTGGATGATGCTGGATTGAAACAGGCTGTGTATTCAGTTGTATATGGACCCCTGCTGTCCAGCAATAGGGCGGCTCCTACTGCCTCTTTCTCCCGGAGCTGGGTGGAGGGCGGAGGAAGTCCTGGTGGAGAGAGTTCCGCTTGTGGTGTGGTGTTCCTGGAAGAGCCGCGTGGGTGGCGTTCGCTGGAGTTGGGGCAATAAAGGAGTTCCTGTTTGAACCTACAAGTGCCTCCTGGCGGCTCGGTTATTTTGTGCCCAGCCAGACTTCATCTACCCAAGAAGATGAAGATGAACTGAAGGATATCAGATCCTGAAGGCATCTTTCCAAATCCTGTCAGTCTGTACCTCAAGCTAGCTCTATGCTCAAACAATTTTTTCTTTCTTTGAACTTGTCTATCTTCAGCAAAAACAGGATACTGTCTGATCCAACAGAGGAAGTTATAAAGGTTATTAGGCTGAAATACACAAATAGCTTGTGCAGTCCATATATCTGCAACAAACACAGACACCCATCAAGGAGCAGTTCTCTGGCTAGCTTTCAAGGGTTGAACAAACCTGCTAGGACATAACAGATCACCAACTTGCTCTCAGCCATCATGGTTGCTCCCCACAGCTCCCATGAATTCTGAATGAGGAAACAGGGAGAATCTTCTTCCACTCTTTGCCAACCTTTCTAACCAAGGCCTGCAGTAGAGTCCTAGGCTAAGGCTAAAACATCTGGATTTTTACCCAGCCTCAGCAACTCTGCTGTGTCGCCCAGGGCTAGAATCTTGATCTTTCTGGACTTCACTAATCCTAACCCTAACCCATAAAAAAAAATGGAGGTCAGAGAATATAAAAGCCATGCACACAACAAATTGAAATGAAGGTTTGGCAGGTACACCAACAAATTTAATATGCAACGTAAGCACAGTAATTGCTCTTAATAAAAGCAACCAAAGCAGAATAAACATAGCTAAAATCTTTGGTTCAGAAACACTAATATTTTTGTGCTGATTTTGGCAACCTATCTTTCTATCTTTTCTCTCTCTCTATTAGACAGAAAAAGACCAGTTTATCATATCTAGTGTTTCAAGATCACAAATGAAGCCAATGAACTCAACATATATGGGTTAATGAAATAGAGATATTTTAACCATTCATAACCAGGGGGAGAAAGACATCTAAACCAGCAGTTAAAGGAGTCACTATTTTTCATCAAGGTTGAGACACCAATACCATCCATTTTATATTAGTTGTGTTCAATGATATATCATAAACTTAATTGGCAAAACGTTTTTCCAGTTAAGGGCATATAAAATAATATGGCATCTCATATTTGGTGAAATATGGTCTATCTCCTACAAAATGCTGCGAGCATCATCCTTCTTACACAAGGATCTTGTCATTCTCATGCTTCAAAACTCATAGCTGAGGTTAAAACTGTATATCGGGACACACAAGGCACTCCACAATCTGGTTCCAACTTACCAGTCCAGCCCCCAACCCTACCTCACCCTGCCTGATGCTCTGACCACTACGTGTATAGGAAAGACGCCCCTTTCACAACTCCCCACTTTCTTCCTTGCCCTCCTACATGTTCTCTCAGGCAGAGCTCAGCCTTGAAGGCTTAAACAGGATTGGTTCCCTTATCTATGAGCTCCTTCCTGTTCCCCTCCCTCAGTTATCTCCTGTAGTCTGGAGGCACTGTATTTCTATGATAATACTATCACACTGCCTCATACTTGGTATTTTTACCCCTCTTCTTACCCAATAAGAATATGAACCCAAGGGTCATGTCTCACTGATCTTTTTATTTCCAGTATATGGCATAAAGTAGTGAAAGTAGTGTCTATAAAATGTTTGTGAAATTAATGTGTCACCAGACTCAGAGCCCCACTACTTCTCCATTCTCCCTAGCTTTCATCACACTCTCCCTTTCCACTTTACAAACTTGCTTCATAGCAGACTAAGAGATATTCTTGGCCATAAATATCACTCAGGTCTCCTGGGCCTACACACACACACACACACACACACACATACACACTCATTTTGGGGGATATGGGGGGAGTCAATAAGCTGGCAAATTCTAATTCATCTTGGATGACAGTCAAATTAAGCCTTTGTTTACAAAACAACTTCTCATTCTCTGTGTATTTTTTATTTTGATCCTGGGGGTCTAAGTCTGAAATCACCCCTGGATGCTCTATCTGAGGTCTGCAGTTTCTTTTTTTTGGGAGGGGGTACAAGGATTGAACTCAGGGGCACTTGACCACTAAGCAACATCCCCAGCCCTATTTTGTATTTTACTTAGAGAGGGTCTCACTGACTTGATTAGCGCCTTGACATTGCTGAGGCTAGCTTTGAACTTGAAATCCTCCTGTCTCAGCCTCCAGAGCTGCTGGGATTACAGGTGTGTGCCACCCGGCTATAGTGTCTTTTATGGTGGTTGAACCTAGTCTAAGTTCAGCCTGTTATTCCCTTGCAGGAAGTGACATCTAAGAAGTCACCTACTGCCCCCAGGATTCAGTTTCCTTACCTCTTAACATGGGGAAATGTTTTGCTAAGTTTACCAGCTGTCTGAGGTTCAAGAGAGGTCACATAAGTAAAAGTGTTTTCAATAGCAAAAGAGCATTATTAAAACAGGAGAAGCAGAGAAACCAAGTTCAAAGAAATTTCAATGGCCAAAGCTCTAACAATTATGCAACAGAATAAAGTAGTACTGGATTATAACCCAAAGCATAAAATAAATATCTGAGCCCATAATGATATAAACAAATGATTGAATAAATCACTAAGTAGGGAAGAGGAGATCAATCTCCCTTGTACAGAATTACAAATAATATATGGAGATACTTGCCCTCAAGGAGGAGGATCATTCACCCCCCACTCCCTACCTGTGGAGTGTACATAATGACTTCCTTCCAAGAATACAGTACACAAAGGGGAGAAAATAAGAGTCTGTAACTTTATAGTGAAGAAACCTCTCAGTCAGGTAATCAAGATCAGCATCAAGTCATAAATCATGATGACCTCATAAAACCCTTGAAATGATGTGATGAATATGGAAATCTACTTTGTGGTTTTCCTCCAAATAACCCATAAGACCAGTCTTAGGAGAAAAACAACAGGCAAATTCCAACAGAGGGTTACCCTAAAATATACATGTCCATTTGCTACAGTTTGGCTATATATAGGTATACTCCAAAGGTCCATGTGTTAAAGGCTTGCCCTTGGCACCACAGGAGGTGGTAGAAACTTTGAGAGGTAGGGGCCCAGTGGAAGGTCTTTACATCATGAGTGGGGGGAGGGTATGCCTTAGAAGGGACCCCAGTTTCTTCCTCTCTTTCTCTTCTTTTTGGTTCTCTGGCCATGAAGTGAGTAGAACAGAGATCAATAAATCATGACTGAAATCTCCAAAACTGTGAGCCAAAATAAACTTTCTCTCTTTTTAAGTTAATTATCTCACGTATTTCTTACAGTGAAGGAAAATGCATCAAAGGTCATCAAAACGAAGTCTGAGTAACTGACACAACCAAAGAGTCATGACAACAATACAATATGTTAACACAGATGGGATCATCAAACAGAAAAGTATTCAGGCAAAAAAAGCAAATCTGAATACACTATGGACTTTGGTCAACAATAATGTATCAATATTGCTTCATTATTTGCAGCAAATGTACCAGACTGATGTAAAACGTTAAGGGGTAAAATGTTTGGGGTATATGGAAGCTCTAGACTATCTTCTCAATTTTTTTCTTAAATCTAAAACTGCTCTAAAAAATAATGTCTACGAAAAAAGAAAACTAATTTTGAAACATTTTAAAAAATCTATGTTTAGAAAACGTGATTTTTTTAAAAAGTTGTGGGAAAAAAAAACATGCTAGGGATTATGATTTCAGCTAACAGTTAAACAGGAGGTTCAGGCATGCATGAACAAATGAATGTCATTCTCCCCTCTTTTGAAGCACACACAAATGGTTGTGGTGTCAAAATCTGGAATCTACTGGGAATTCTGAAATGTTTCCCTCCTATTTACTCCTTAAGGTTAAATTAATATACTTTTTTTCCTAAAGCTAAACAGGGATAAAATTAGCAGGGAAAATATACATCTCCAAGTGTGTGTGGTGAAACTGGTTTACTCCGACCCAAAGAAGAAGAAAGGAAAGGAAACCTAACTTTGGTCATGGAGTCGGAATGGCTATCTACAGGGCTCTAAGCCACCAGACCTTCATCCGGGTCCCGCTTACTTCTAGCCCTGGGGACTATAAGGGATTAGAGTCTGAGCTGGACTCGGGAAAGCTTGAAAGACTGACGAGGAAGGGCGAATGAAGGGTCAAGCAAGCAGGAGGGATTCGGTTGGCAGAGAGGACGCAACGAACTCGACCCCCTGCCCAGCCCGCCCGGCGGCCAGGCCGGGTTCTGTCCCAAGGCCCTGCGGCCGCATTCAGTCACCCCAAGCCTGGGGCGCGTGTGTGAGACTGCTGTTTCACGGCATTTCTCATCTGATGCCCCTTACTCACCAGTCCCGAGCCGCAAATCGAGGGCCCGGGTCGCTTCTCTCCCGCACCGGTCTGTTCCGGGTCCGACTCAGGCTCGAGCAACCAGCGCGACAGCGCGTCCCCGCCCCGTAATCTCCCGGCTACTCGGTGCCCTCCGCCGAGATTTCTCCCCGATCAGCCCCGGGATTGGCCCCTGCTGAACTCCGCCCTCCAATGGGAACTTTAGTCTACTTGACGTCACTGATCACCGGGCAAATCCCCAGGCAGGGGCCGGGGGGTGGGGCGGCAGGGGCCGGGGGGTGGGGCGGCAGGGCCCGAGAAAAGGAAACTGAAAACGGAAGGGCAGAGACTGGTCAGATCCGCAGCCCAAGTTTGGTGCCTGCGGATATAGTTACAAGCTTTAAGGGAGTTAACTTATGAGGCCCAGTGAAGCACCCGTGTAGGACTCGGGTGCTATAATCCCTTCCTGGTCTTCCCCAGACGCCCCCACTTCCCGATCTCCTTGCACGGGTTCAGGGTCGCCGGCGGCTTTAATGCGAAGTGGCGCTCGCCAAGGCTCACCATTAAACGACTCCCTGTTCTCAACGTGACCTAAATTTGTTTCCAGGACAAGACAGAATCTTAACAAGCATATATTCTCTAATTTACAAAAATTAACTACCATTTCCGAAGTGAGTCGCTGTATGTAAAATATCCTCCTGCAAGGCAGGCACTGTCCCCATCCGACAGGAAAGAAAGCTGAGGTTCTGTGAGCATAGGGGCCTAGCCCGGCTCAGTGGGACTGTTTCCGTTCTTGCGCGCTGAATTTAGAAACTACAAAACCCGCAAAGTGGACGGGGACTCGGGTTCCCAGGGTTCCCAGGGACCTTGGTGGCGAGGTTTCCAAGAGGCTTCGGCGCGTCCCAGCAGCCCACGGCCCAGGAAGCTAACCACGACGAAGCATCCCGTTTTCTCAGCCTATGCTGGTTTCCTGCTCTGCCTGCAATCGCTGCACCTGGTCTCACGGCAAGGCCATCCCCTGTGCTGACGTCGCCGTATCCCAGGCACTGCTGCGTGAAAATACCCTAGACTGCCCGGCAGCTGGGAGGTTGCTACATTCAGTACTGGCACGGAGCTGGGAGAAACTGGCAAGAGGCGTTGAAGGTTCTGCTGTCCGCCAGTTCCCAGATCCTAAGAGTGGGATTTAGACAGAGACGCGGGCCCACCTAGGCGGCGTTGTCGGTGCGTTGCAGGTGTTGGGGTGGGGAATTTTCATGACCTCGTGATCCTAGGGTCCTAAATCCTAAAACCCATCCAGCCTCCACCCATCTGCTGCTGAGGGCGAGGAAATTTGGAGTGAATGGAGGAGGGGATGGGACACAACTCTGGCAGGCCTATGCTCTGGATATGGTGTCAACACATTCTACACCCACCTGCTACCTGCTCTTGCAGGGTTGTGGGAAGAAAGTGTGTTTGAAATGCTCTTCAAATAACATCATGCTACTAAGCTGTTCTCTCCCAGAATCCTAGGAGGTACTTAACTTGCTCAGTCCACTGGTCCAGCCCTTTGTGGTCTTTCCACACACACCCTTTTTGACTTAAATTCTCTGATACCTTTCCAGCACACTTGGGGGGGGGGGGGGCATGGAAGACCTCTGCAGGGCCTGGGGGTGGGAGAGGGCTGGTATGACCTCTTGTTGTCACCTTCTCATTTCCTGCATTTTAACCACTCACCCTAGCCCCTTGCATGGCTGCCCGCTTCTTATCAGTCGTGTTTCTGCTTAACTGGCATTTCAGAAAGGCCTTTCTCCATCCCTCAGTCTAAATCATTATGTCCAATTATATTTATTCTATGTTGATTTTTTTTTAATGCACTGGTCACCATTTGAAAATATCTTGTTAATTTCTTTGTCCATCCTCCTCCTCCCCCTCAATGTAAGCCCCATGAGAGCTGAGACATAGCTTGTCTTTCATGCACATGGTCTTCACTCAATAAATGGATGTTGAAAGAGCTCAGCTTGAGTATTTCTAAATTCTTTCTAAAGCTGTATGGCTTTGTTTGGCAGCACTATCACTCTTGCACTGTCTTCTCTCATTATGTTACATGTTGGTTGATGCAGCTTCTCAAGTCTAACTAAAGACATTAGTGATGAACACTGGGAACACAGGTGGTTCTGAGGTAGGTTAAAAGAAATAAAAAAGATAGGAAGGATCAGGAAAATATAACTTCAATCTAAAAGCCTTATAGCTATGCTAAAGCTCTGCATATCTTTCCTCCTAGGCTTGTCACTCCCCAAGCCAGTTCTCTCTCCCAAGCCTGTCATTCTCAAATTTGTTACCATAAATGAACCCATTTATGAGAATTACATTGCGCACTGTTAATTAGCCAATGTAATAAATAGATTTAGTAAAGAGATACAATATTTTAAGAAACTTGTAATATCAGGCATTTTCTAACATTATCTACTGCTCAGATATTGGAGACCACATCATCCTAAAGTATCCTGACAATTGTCAGACCACTAGTCATTAGACATATCATTCTCACATACCTTCCCATGCTGGTCCCTGAAAGAATTCCCCACGCAAAGACACTTCGCCGGGAGAATTCCAATTTTATTGCAAAAAGCTGTGTGCTTATATAGAACTAAGGGGGAGATGGTAGGGCTTAGATAAATGGCAGGCAACCCGTTTATTGGCAAGTTCTTTCAGATATCAGCTCCGGAGCCCAGGAATTAGTTCTCATTGGGGCTAAGGTTCCCCGCCAGCGAGATTTGAAATTGGCGCTGGCGGGAGAGTTCACACGGGCGGGAACTTTTCGCGCCACTGCAGAAAAGAAGAAGATAGGAAGAAGAAGTCCTTAGGCGCCATGTTGGGGTTTTTCTCTGGGGTATGGCTGCCGTTTATACTTTTCCCAACAGTCCCTGACCAGGTTTCCCCTAGAACCTCCAAAGCATCTCACTCTCGATAGCCAGCATTCTTCCTTAAATGTGTCTCTCCTAATAAATCTCTATGTCTCTTACTGATGTGTCCTTAAATTAATTTCTGTGATGTTTGTCAAGAGCCCCACTCATCCTGAGTTAAGATCCTTAAATTCATTTCTGTGATGTTTGTCAAGAGTCCCACTCATCCTGAGTTAAGGTCCTTAATTTTTTTTCTATGATGTTTGTCAAGAGCCTCATTCACCTCGAAGTTAAGGAAATCTTTTGGTGACAGCTCCAGTGCTTGCTTCATGGTCAAAGCACCTTTACAGTAAGTAGCAGGTGTCACACTTGCCACTCTAGTGGCTGGGATGACTCACTGCCCTCTAGGTTCCTGGAACAGAATTAAAATTCTTTGCTTGGGCACTCCAGTCCTGTGCTTATATCAGGGGGAGTCCAGTGCAATACATGGGGCTGCCTAAAGGGAGCTAGACAACATGGGCTTGAATCCTCCTTCCTTTCACTTTCTGGACAAGTCACTCAACTTCTATGTGTCACAGATTTTCGTCCATAAAAGGGAAATGAAAATTAGATCTACTTCATAGAGTTGTCATGGGGATTAAATGTAAAACTTTGAAACAGTAAGTGTAGACTAGGCCAGAGAGGATGGTATGTTAAATAGCTTACATATGAAATGAGAATCTTAAATCAAGCAAAAAGATTTAGTAAGCATGTTCTTGAGCAGCTCAGGTTTTACCTGAGGAAGAACTAGAAATTGCCCTCTAAAAATGAGTTTGCATATAATGAGGTACAGGAAATGGTACCCCAAAATATGTCATCTTGAAAATTAAGGAGACAGCAGAAGCAGAAAATACTTCTGATCTTCTCTTGTTCTTTGTCCCCTGAAATAGACCATAGAAATTAGGATTCCTGTCTCCATTTCTCCGTTGACAGACCATAAAACCTAGGAAATTCTCTCTGTTCTTATCCCTTGAAGACCCTTATGTGAACAATTTTCTATGTTACATAAAAAAGAAAAGAATGTCACAAAGGGATGCCAACATTACTGGCTATTAATCCAGGGAACCTGCCTAGATCCCTGCTGGCTAGATTGAGTCAGGTGCCTGCATATGAAAAAGTGACAAATGTAAAAAGTGAAGCCAGATTTAAAGTTAGGTAGTCAGTGTAGTTAGGTAAATCGGGTCTAATATCGAGTGAAATCTAAAATGGAGACCATGCGGAGAATGACTCAGGGAAAACACAGGACAACTCATGGAATGTTAATGAAGTCCCCGAAAAGGCCCTAGGCCAAAGTCCACCTCAAAGAAATGTTAATGA